GAGAGGGAAAGAAAAGGTATCTGTACTGGGAGAAAAAGAAGACATACAGATGTAGGATGAAAGCAGACACTAGACTCTCCCACAGCATCTATGGCCTCAGTTTCCCCATCTGTAAGGTGGGACCCAATGAGCAGGATTTACCACTGGACTTCCTATGGCCTGGTCTCACCCCTTCTCAGCCCAGGGTGTGTCACATCTGGTGGCACTTTAGCACCCTGCAGCTTAAGAAACCCTGCCTGCCTGCCCAGAAGACTGTTTGCAGTAGGGTCAGCCCCAAGGAGGCTTCAGGTCCTTTGAAAGCCTAGCACTCAGTAGGTGCTCAGCACAGGGTTCCCATCTGCAGGGTGAGCACTTGGGAAAAACCATCAACAAAGCAGACCCTGCCCTGACTACAGGGCACAGAGCGTGTCATTGCCCTGGGTTTGCTGGGAGCAGTTTCACACCGCAAGCCTCTCGGGGTTGCTCCTTGTAGGGAATTCCTGGAGTCCCAGACTTTGTGGGGGATGGATACTGAGCCTGGCTCTTAGGTGGCCTTGAAGGGCAGTCAGGTGACCATCTGTCCCAGAGGAGACCCCAGGTCCTACTACTGAGTGAACAGCCAGCCAAGCCAGGACAGATGCAAGGGACCTCACTACTCTGGCAGTCAGAGGTAGCCACAGACCACCACTGGGCAGCCTGTGAAGGGAAGGGCTTGATGTCCCTTGGACACCTTGAGTGCCAGGGACCATACCTGGTCCATCTGATGGTTCAGAACCGGGCAGTGACTGTCACTCAGAAGTGGAGGACAAAGCCTTGAGAAAAGATGGTGTGCAGAGACCACATCACCAAGGACTAAGTTAGCACAATGGCTGAGTACGCTGTCTGCTCATAATGGACATCTTGATGTCTCCAGCATGTTCTGTTCCTAGTGGCCACAAGTCTCCCAACAAAGTGGGCAAGAATCAGGAGTGATGCTGTATTTGCCAACCAGAAGTACCCAAAATTGTATGAGAGTCATGCTTGCTTTTGGCTTTCTTTGAGGAACTGAGTGTGCTGTGGGAAAGCCAGGAAGTATCCAGACTTTGCCTCTGTGGGGTATGGCC